GCTCCTGGAATTTGCAAGGCTTCGGCAAGCCTGTGGAGATCTTTTTTTTTTTCAACACGAAATTCTGCCTTGCACTCAGCTTCATCCCGCATGTTTTCAAGCGTGAACTGATCGTAACTGTCCCAACGGAAACCGGAATTTTTGGACTCATAATTTTCCCACAAAACGCGAAACACTTCATCAGGTACATGTTGTCTGCATAGCAGATATTTATTCTCTCAACTCTTTATGTGAAGCCATATTTTCCTCTTCGGTATTCTTCTAAGGCGCCGTCCTTCTGAGTTCACTGCGATATTAATGTTCGAATTTTGACGGCAAGCGACGGCTGCCTCAGTTCCAGGCTTTGTCTGCCAGTCCAGTCGCCGTCACCCCGAAAACGTCTCTATCTTAAGTTCCCTCGTGAAATTACCGGTGGTATACAGGAAGCGAAAATAGGCCACACGGTACAGGCTCAGAAAGGTACCTTCCTTGAAATGTAGCGAACTCCCTCTTTCCAACATCAAGGCTGCTAATTGAATGTTTGATTTATTTTACTTTATTTGAAAGAAAACAAAAAGATTCGAGCTCCATCTTATAAATGTGAAGTAACAGGTATGTGCCATTATGTTAATCAAGTGGTAAATGAATGCAGTATTTCGCAAACAAAGACAGGTATCGTCTTAATTGTACTTTTTGCCTTGGTCTGTCATTTATGTTCATAAGGAAAAATTAAGAGGGAGAACTAGCAGATGCTACTACCTATTGTGCTGTTGCACGGTAAGGAGTCCTTTAACAAACTTGCTCATGATCAGCGTAACCCCCTGGGGCAAATTGACTAGGGCTGTCCAATTCAAGAGATGATCCAAATCAGTTGGAAAAAAATGCTTAGAACTTCTCGAAATGTTGCTCAAAGCTTTCCCTAAAATTTTAATGTTGATTTTAATATTTGCTACAACAAGTTGCAAATTTTGATCAACAGCTATTTTACTAAAGCAAAATCAAGTGAAAAATGGGTACTTATTTGAGGTTGTGTGGGAGGGGGAGTGGGTGGGCGCTTATTCGAGCCTGGGCGCCTATTAACTTTTTCTGCCTTTAGGATGGGCGGTTATTCGAGCTGGGCGCTAATTCAAGGCTGGCCGCTTATTCGAATAAATATGGTATTTTACCACTATTTTGATGCTCACAACATTTTCCCGCAAACGCAAGGCCAATTGCAATCAGAGGATGTTTAAATTGTCAGCCATAATAAAATTCAGTGGGCTTTTTTTTGCCATAATGGTGAGTGCATGGTAAACAGTCTATTCGTCTGTACAACAAGTCACTGAAAAGAGAAAATACCAGCATATATAGCGAAATTGAAAGACAAGTCCAGGAACAAGGACGTTTCAAACGCAAGGGGAAAGGCTGAAATTCTTAGTAAGCGGTATAAGGCGTTTTAACAGCCCAAAGATGTGCGACATGACCTCAGACTTTAACTACCCCAGAACGACGAAACTAACCATAACTACCAAAGGCATTGAAGACCTTCTGAAGAAGGTTAATTCTATGAAAGATAATGGTCCAGACAAGATACTATCACGAGCCCTAAAGGGGTGTGCACCCCAGATTGCCCCATACTTGACAGTCATATTTAACCAGTCACTTACTGAGCAAGACCTACGAGAGGATTGGCTAAAGGGAAATGTTTGTCCGATGTGCAAGAAGGGAGAAAGGAAAGATTCAGCTGAATATAGACTTGTCTCCCTTACGTGTGTGATCTGTAAAGTTATGGAGCTACATACCATCATGTTTCTGGACATCTGAGCCACTAAGGCTGTGACATTCTGAAGCACTTTCAGTGCGGTTATTAAGGGGTACATCACGTGAAAGTCAGCTTATCATCATAATAGAGGACATAGCCAGGGCGCTAGATAATCAAGCACAAGTCGATCAACTGGTCCTGATTTTTTTCAACGTTTTTGACACGGTGCAACACAGGAGGTTGTTAAGAGCAGTATGGGGTTACAGGTCCAGTTTATGACTGGATTGCTGCATGGCTAACTGGTCAGCACCAGCCAAGGTTTCTTCTGGTGTCCCGCAAGGGACCGTTCTGGGCCCTCTGGTGTTCTTAATCTACATCATTGACATCGGAGATGGTATATATTCTAATTTAAGGTTATTTGCGCATGACAGCCTTCTCTATTTGGCAATTGAAACAGCAAATGATACTGCTCAGCGACAAAACAACTTCAGGACAAACTGTCACAGTGGGCAGCCAAGTGGCAGACTGTCGTTTAACACCGATAAGTGTAAGGTATTGACAATCAGACTAGGAAATAGAACCCAATTCAGCATCCAATACGAAATCAACAGCAAGAAGACACTTGAAGCATTGGAAAGTCATCCGTACCTCGGTGTGGAGTTTACAATCAGTCTCAACTGAAACAAGCATGTTGAGAACGTAATAGTCAAGGCTAATAGATCATTGGGCTTTGTCGAGAGAAATCTAAGGCGGTGTTCAGAGCGAGTGAAAGTCCAAGCATACAGCACTCTGGTGCGTCCACATTTGGAGTACGCCAGTTCTGTATGGTCGCCACATCAAAAGTACCAGATCAATAGTATGGAGGCTGTACAGCGCAAGGCGGCCCACTTCTGCAAGAACTGCTGGGAAAGATAACCGGGGACAGTGACTCGTTTGATCCAGGAACTTAACCGAGAGCCTTTACAGATGAGACGAGAAAGAGGAAGGCTGATGCTGTTCTTCAAGATATTCAGGGGTATGGTGGCTCTCCCGATACCATCATATGTCCAGCCACCACATTACAGCAGAACCCGTCAGTAATATACCACCCTGCCAGATACATTGCGTGAACTGTGGCAGTAACGAGTACAAGGGGAGTTTCTTTCCCGCCACGATAAACTTTTGGAACAGCCTATGGCCTGGAAAATTTTTTATATGAATTGATTTATCAATTTATTTATCACGTTCTTGTCTATTTTGCATTATTATTATTATTTTTGTTTCTTATGGCCACGTGATGGCTATGCTTTTGTGGATTATTTGGATAAACTTAAACGTTAACGTAAGGGCCTCTTCATTTTCAGTTTTTTTGTCTTTGAAACTGCTATTTTTTTCCAGGTAGACCGGGATTTGTTTCTTTTTTCAATGGAATTACATAATGACTTTTCAGGGTGTTGTTAATATTTTCACGCAGTGTGACTTTAAACCATGATTCTTTCTTCCTTCCAGAAAATTGTCCAGTAAGTGTTTGAAAACAAGATTGTGTGTGGTAAATTCATCACGGATTGTGACCAGTGTATGACCGTGACTATCACCCTGGACCCTGGTCACTCTACTCGGTTAAGTTTTCCTCTTATTTTTTTGGCGTTCATGGTGAAAAATAGTTGACTGACTTCAACTCATGTCAGATTTTTTTTTTCGTGAAATGGCCATTTTAGTTTCCTTCATCAACCTAGTAGGCATAATGGAGTGGTTCCGTATTGAGAACCGCGAAAAACTGAACCTTGAAATGTATAAAGGCCGGCGATTGGAGCCTTCACAAAATGTATATGCACACATTCTGGCCGGTTTGAACTTAACTCTCAAAATGCATATCTCACTGGATTTATGAAAACATGGCTTCAGTGAGTGTCTAAAGGTCCTATGCTAAGAGCGTCCTTGGTACCAAGACTTTTACCCTCCCCACCCAGGACAATGGGTGACTGTCTGCACCTCCCACTGACCTCTGCAATTATCATGATAACCATTCTCAACAGACGCCTGATTCAGCTGGCTAGGGAAAATTAAGACCAAGGTACTCACCAGTCAAAGCCTGCTCTGAACACTGCTGCTTACTGAAGGGAATGTGTCAAAACATCCCCCTCCCTACCCCACTAGTTTTGACCCCAAGGCCTGATCCACCCACCCACTGTTAGGGCAGTCCCAGGGCTATCCAGCTGTACTGACCAAGACGGGAAGCCCCCTACATTTTTGGGCACCGGGCTGGCCTGGAGTCGGGCTTCGCCCGGCGCCAGGCGAAAACCCAGTGGCCACGTTTTAACGAAATCAGACATAAATTCAGGTTTTTTGTCTTTTACATTAATAGATACCATAGAAAAAGAATATCTGACCAGAAATGGTAAGCCTGCAGAGCCAACCGACCTATTAGAAAGTCAGAACAAAAATCCTAAAAAATAGCTTTATTTTAAAAAGCTTAACTTGTGTTACTGCAAAATACAGCAAGGATATATCAGCCGGCAAACCAAAAGAAGTTCCATATTGTACTTGTTAAAGACGTTGCCAGGATCCAGGCATGCATATTATGCAAAATCTATTAAAAATCAACTTTGATTCGTCCCCTTGGATTTTTGTGTCTAAAAAATCGCACAGTTAGCGTTTCCATATCCACGTGGAGTGAAATGGCGAGGTGGAACACACGTGCTGAGCAGTAATTACAAATAATAATGATAATAATAATAATAATAATAATAATAATAATAATAATAACAATAACAATAATAATAATAATAACGGTTTATTCACAGGTTCTCTATACGGTAGCTATACATATGTGAAAAAAGAAAAACTATTTACAAGAAAAAAGCATTTTACAAGAAATTATAATTGTATATATTATGCAAAAATCTATTTACAAGTAAAAAGCAACTACATGCATTTCTGCTAGTCTGAGCTGTGCCCTTTGTTTAAAAACATTAGTAACTAATTGATTGAAACGATGAAAAACATTACATGATCTTAAGTTTGCGGGCAGGCTGTTAAAAAAATTGGCTGCTGAGTCCTGAAAGGTATGTTTCTCCATAGAGATTGCTATCTGTAGTGTATCACTTGATCGTAGGTTCCTCTTAGGGTAGTGTAATGGCAGAGGCAAACATTGGGAACCTAGGGCAGAAACCCCCTATATTCCTTGGCTATAACAACTGCTACGATTTTTAAAAGGACTGGTGCGAAGACTTGTGATTTTCCTGATGCTCCGTCTCATCAACAGTATCATATAGGCCCAGGTTATTGTCGGTTAAACTCTTTAAATAATGTCATATGTTATTAGATAGAGAGGATAACACTGTTCGTCATTAAAAATGACAAAAATTGATGGGCTTGATTCATTATCAACGCATGAATCATACAGATCACTAGCGGGATTGCTAGGGTCTTTTAAAGGAGGTCGATGGGGTGATTCATCTCCTTGCTTAAACTCTCCGGTTAACACTCGAGCAAGGAACATAAATCTTGTCATTCCACTGCAGTAGTTGTTACTATATGAGGCCTTAACGGCAAAATAGCTTCCTTTACCATATTTTGTGCCGTTTTTGCCGTGACACCTGTGGTCAAAATTGTGCTTGCAGATGGCGTCAATGACATCTGAACTGGTGCCGTGGAAAAGAAGCCTCTCCACATTATCGTTGTCGGAGACTTTAAGTATATTCTTGATTTGGTCTCTCTTCCTGAAAATACATCCACCGTATACAACTTATAAATGGAATGAACCCATTACAGTTAAATTGATTTAATGAAATTGCGGAATAAACTGTGGGTTTTTGCAGAGGACTAAGGGCTCTACGTATACATTTGCATGACTTTAATTGCCGCATTCAGAAATGTTTCAGGATTTATTACATTTTAGATATTCAGACACACATCAGTTAATCCAGGAACGGTTATTCGGTTGAAGTATTCCGACATTTAAGATTCCGGATTCAAAGTTGCTGAAAACGCGTTCAAACGGTTTTTATTTCGTATTCATGCATCTGCATCTAGTAGCAAAACGAATCCAGACACCAAAAGATAGTTTAAAAAGAAATTAAAAAAATCTTCTTTAGTGGATACCTCGTCTGGTACTCAAGGGAGACTTTCAAGGCCGAAAGACTGAAAAATAAACTTTTTGGCCAAGGAAAAACCGAAATTAACTGGTAAGAAAGTGCCTTTATAGCTTTCAAGGACCCCGCGGTGGAAGTGGATTGCAACTTTTTTATTTCATAAGTAGGTTAAGTATGATTTGGATATGATCGTCAGATATGTCGCAAA